GATATCTTTTTATAAAAAGATATAAGATTATATTTTTGCAAAACAAGTTTATAAACTATATCTATATTCTCTTTTCTTTCTAAATATTCTTGAATATTCAAAGCTTTTATATCCTTCTGTCAAAAATATCTGTCACTTTTAATGATTAATATTATTTTAAAAATTTTATCAGATATTTAAATTAAATTTGTTCAGAAACTATATTAATAACTTTTAATAAAATTTATATTTTTGAAATTCTTTTATTATGAACTTTTTATTTATAATATTAATATATTATAAAATTTTTTTTACTATTAATTACAGCCTCAACTCTTCAAGATATACTATTTACTAAATTTTTTAAAATATTTTTCTTAATTTTTAATTATTTCTTCTTCAAAATAAAAACTAATTCTCTCTTATTTTTTGATATGAGTTTGTATTTATGTAATTTTCTTTCAAGATAATTTTACAAATGCTCAATTAGATTGAAATCTGGATTTTGAGTAAATTACAAAAAAAAAGATATTAAATTTTCATCTTTTTAGACAAATATTAAATTAGCTTTATAAACAGGAGCATTATCATTTTGAAAATATAAGTTTTTTCATTATCTAAACTTTTAATAAAAGAAATTAAATAATTTTCTAAAAGTTTTTTATAGACTTGATCTATAATATTATCTTTTAATACTACTAATAGTTCAAGTTAATTTTTAATAAAATAATTTTAGACTATTATTTCTTCTTTATTACTCTTTACTATAGATATTAGATAATTTACATTATATTTCTCATGAAATTTATATTAAATTTATTGCTAATCATCATTTTCAAATAAAAGAAATCAGGATTCATTACTTTAAATAATTATATCACATTATTTATCTTAATCTTTATTAAAGATGATATAGCAAGTATGTGATACTTATTTATTATCTATTATAATATATTGCAATTTCAAAATTTTATAAGTTATAACTAAATAATACTTATTTATCATCATATTATAACAGTTAAAAAGTCATTTTTAATCTTTATATTTATAATATTATCTTGAGTATTTTATTTTATTATTCTTAAAAATAAAGAGCTTTTTCTTTTTAATATGGCCAAAAAAATTATAATTATAAAGTACATATCTAGTAGTATAAGTACTAATCTAAGTAATATCTAAATTATTAAATAGCTTAGTAATTTCTTCAAGTAATTCTTTCCTATTATCTTTAGTTACTTATACAAGAATTCATTCTTCATGATCAATTAAAAAAGATAATTTTCTTATATAAGAAAAAGACTTAGTTATTCTATTATTTTTAAATTTATTAATAATATTAATACAAATAGTTCTGGATATTTCAAGTATTTTTTGAATATTTGTAATATTATACTTGTTCTTATAAAGTCTAATAATTATTTCATATTCAAAATCTAAGTATTCATAAAACTTAGATATTTTTTATAAAATTTAGTAAAAAAAACTATAAAATAAGCTTATAATTTTTGAAAGTTATAATTTTTATTTGCTCAGAAAAAAAATATTTGAAATTAAGTTAGATATAAGATGAGATATCTTATTTTAAATATAAACTATAAGACAGAATTTTATTTGTTAATCACAAAATAATGGATACTTTTAATAAAAGAAAATATATTACTCAAAATCTAAGTATTAATACTTATTAAATATTTTTTTATATTTAGAGTTTGTTTAATTAAATGTACCTGTAAAAGTAATTCTTTATTTTCATTATTTTTTATAAGTTTTAAGTTAATAGAAGAGTAATTTTTAGTAATATTAATATTATAATTATATTTATTAAGATGATAAATCTCTTTTAAATCAAAATACTTTGCAATATTATATTGATAACTAATAAAATAAAGTAAATTTTCATGATCTATTAATAAATTATTACTATATAAATTTATTAAAATATATATTATATTTTGATTTAGCTTTTAAATATAATATAATATCTGATATACTTTATTACTTATCAAATTAACTAATATATAAAAGTATATAAATATCATATTGAAATTTTTAATTATTATACTTATTTTACAAATCATTATAAAAGTTATTATCAAATAGTTAAGATTTGCTATTATATTATTAATATTGATAAATATTTCTTTTTTCTTAACTTCTAATAATTATTTAGAAAAATACTTATCTTAATATTCTTGAAATTTTAATTTCTTATAAAGAATCTTTGTCATTTCTGCATTAATAAATATTAAAATATAGACTTTTAATTCTTATTTCAAAATTTTAATTAATTTAATATTTTATTTATATATATAAAAATATAATATTTATTTTATATATATTAATTTTATATCATGATTAAATTTTCAGTATCTATTTTCAAAATATTTTATAAATGTATAAGCAAGTCTGAATTTAATATAGTATCTAAAGCTAATATTAACTTAGTTTTAGTTTTTTCATGATAGATCCATTAAAATTTTGAGTAATTATTTCAAACTTATTTAGTATAATTATATTATAGCCAGTTATTTCAAGTTTATATAGACTGATAATAAGTTTAAAGATATCTTTAGAGTTAAGTTTTTTTGCATCTAGTTCAAGATAAGACTTAAATTTTTTGAAAAGAATTTTTTATTTATAAGCAAGAGAATACTAATCAAATATAATAAGAATTGAAATAAAAGGTCTATTAGAATAAATAAATATTCTTATTTTTTTTATTATCTTATTTGATTTATTAATATCATAATATTCTTTAATAAATATCAAGTATTAGTTACTATTTATAAGTTTAGCTTACAAATTATAGCTTTGTATTATTTTAATATTATATATTTTAATATTTTTTCTAATAGTAATAAAGTTATTTTGTGAATAAAATTATGATAAATACTAAAGTTGAGATCTTAATTTATCTAAATATAGAATAACTTTTTTCTTAATCACTTGCTAACTCTATTATTATAATTTAATTTAATAATCTTAATATCAAACTTATCTTTTTTTTATTTAAAATAATAAAAAAAATAATATAATTCATATTATCTTAACTATATATATCTTCTTTCATATATTCTTTTTTATAAATTAAATATATTATAAATAGAATTTTATTAAAAGTATTAAAATTATTATTAGAATTTCAATAAGATAAAAAAGAAAATTATTCTTTTATTATTTTTATTATAGTATCATTCTTCTTATATGAGATAGATTTATTTTCTTATTTTTTAGCTTTTTATCTTCTTTTCATTCATATGATTATAATTCTATAAAATCTTTTTCAATATAAATAATAAGTAACTCTCTTTAAGTATAATTTGAATATATGTATTTAATATATGAAGAGTCTTTAACTTTATAATTTTCTGCTAGTTGAAAATAATAGAAATTCTTGTTTACTTTTTTTATTAATAAAAGAATATATTCTTTCTGAAAAAAGTTTTAAGATTCATAATGTAAATTTTTGAGTCTTGAATATATTATATATAAAATATTTGAATAATATTAAGTATTAATTTTACTTAATTTCATTCAAAGAATCAGTTAATAAAATATTATTTATTGAAATATTTGATTTAATTATTTTTTTTATAATAATTTATAATATATTCTTAATATATAAACTAATCTCATCCTTTTTATATATTATATCTATAGATTTTCTTTATATATAAAAATATATATTAATAATATAATAAAAGAGAATAAAAGTTTAAAAAAGAAGAATAAAAAAATAGTGAATGTAATTTATTATGAAAAAATAATAGAAGATCAATTTATATAAATTATAATTAATAGTAAATTATTAGTAATATTATATTAATCAGATTTTTAAAGTAAATAAATAAAAAGATTAATAAACTATTCAATATCAGTCTTATAGATATAAATAAAAAATAAGAATGATTACTAGAAGAAATAAAAAAATTAAAAATAAAAATAAAAAATTTAAATTGATAAATAGATATTCTAATAATAAAAAAAGCAAAGTATAATCTATTGCTTAATAATTAATAGATAAAGTAATTAAAGTCTATCTTGAATTAGAATGATGAATTTCTTAGTTTTGAAATAGAAAAAGAATTAATAGTCATTCTAATTACTTATATATAATAAAAATCAACTATGAAATTAATCAATCTCAAAAGAGAATTCAAGAGTTCGGCTCTTGATGATGATGATAAATTTGAATATGAAAAAGAAGAATTAATTAATTAATTATTATATATAATTTATAAAAAGCAAAGTGAGTAACTTATAATAAAAATGAAAGTTTAAAAAGATTTTGTAAAAATAAATAATAAAATTATTAAATAAGAAGAGAAAAAAAGGATTTGATGAGAAAGATTAGAAGACTATAATATTTATATTTATGATAGAGAAGAACATAAATATCTTTAATGTAAAATTAAATAATATATATAATTAGTTAGAAATATTATCACAATCATTATTAAATATTACTTTAATTATAACTCAACCAGATCAAACTAATATTTTTCAATATAAAATAAATTTTAACTTTATTAGTAATCTAAAGATTATTTATATATATATTTTTATTATCAATATTATAAGTCTTATTGATAGAATTGCTAATTTATTTATTTTTATCAGATAAATTAAATAAAATCATGTTTAATTCATCATTGTATAATTCTGAGCTTGGAGTTGTAATACACTTAGGATCGGAAGATCGGAGAATTAAAGATTAAATCAATCATGTGCTTGTGATACATAAGTCACATGTTCGAATTTTTTTTGGTGGTTACGCTGGGGGAAGTTCCGCTTTAACGGTACCCCAAATTAGGAGGAAAACCTAAATTAGGAAATTTGAAATTTGGTTCGGTAATACTGGTCCTTTAACGATTCCTGCACGCCGCTGTATGATATAATACAATAATTACATAAAATAAAAACTTATCTGTGGCGGGTGCGGTGCGTGACGCACCACCAACCTGGCACACAAATGAGGGTTGTGATATTAACTTTTTAACGTCAAGTATTAATATTCAAGAATGTCTTATTTTCTTCCGCATTTGACAAATGGTAAGCTTCTTCCATTTGCTACAAGCGAACATTGTTACTGAAATTTCGGGTAGAATTTTATTATATTAATTTATTTAAGGTTGGCAAGTTGATCAAGCTATTCTCTCCGAAGAAGACCGAGTTGTGGTGATACGGTTTGGACATGACTGGGTATGTAGTTAGCTCTCTTCTAATGTACAGGACACAAAAAAAAGGTCAATTAGCTATTCCATTTATTTTTATTTATAAAAAGAATTAGATCTTGCCAAGGGTTAAAATAGATATATACGAAATAAAAGAGGCTTTATTTTTAAATTAAATTGTACATTGATTTTATCAGTTAAATATTACTTTCTATGAATTGCTCAAATCTCGAAATTATATTTCATTGGTTTGTGTTGAATGTAATAGGATCCAACCTGTATGAAAATGGACGAGACATTATACGGAATCGCGGAAAAAGTCAAAAATTTTGCCGTAATTTATTTGGTAAATTTTAATCATTCTGATATTTTCGAATATACATTTATGATTAACTCATCGTCATTATTTAGGTCGATATTACAGAGGTTCCAGACTTTAATAAGGTACAACAATACCTATAAAAGATATTCATGAATCATTTCGCGTTCTTATTACTTACTTTATGAATCTTAATATAAAGATGTACGAACTCTACGACCCATGCACAATAATGTTCTTTTTCCGCAACAAACATATCATGATCGATTTAGGAACGGGTAACAATAACAAAATAAATTGGGCAAGCATTCTTCCTTTTTATTCTTTTACTCTTTATTATTATTATTATTACTTAAAGTCCCGAATTTGTGCAATTGCTAATGGAAATTAATTATAATAGGCACTAGAAGATAAGCAGGAATTGATAGATATAATTGAGACAGTTTATCGTGGTGCACGAAAAGGTCGAGGTCTTGTGGTATCGCCGAAAGATTACTCGACTAAATACAAGTATTAGATGGAAGTGAATATTAACAGTGTCGTTGTTAGAAGCAGTAATAACATTTTCTTGAATTTAAGATAGAATATAAGAGGATTTATTAGATTGAATTTTCAGCATTTTCATTTTATTAGAATTTTAATATTTCAAATCTAGAATATATAAAAAAAATTTTGCATTAATAAATTTCTAAAAAACTGAATTTACACACCAACTCTCCTCATCGCGCCGATACAATCTTTGTTTCAAACGGCAGAAAATCTCGTTTTGAATTAAACCCTCTCTCGGAACTAAACGCCTCACACTTCACCAACTCGATTTCCATCTTTCCACCCTTGACGAAAAGTCGCGTCATACACTTTGTCACGTAAAGTTTCAGATATTTTGTGCCAGACACCGGGTCTAATTTAAGTAGATAGGCGAGACGTTCGATATTTGATAGGGCCTCGGACGTAGACTTCACGCCATCTATTTCGAATGCACATGATTCTGGTGAACGGATCGTTGTGGTGATTTCTTGCTGAGGGATTTTGATCGATTTTGCGATGTCTTTTAGTTTTTGGAAATCTTTTTCAGCGAATATTAGTTCGAATTTTACTATTGTTGTTTGCGATGGTAATTTTAGACCGAAATTCTTTGGTGTTGTCGATTCATATATTATATTTGAGTTGTTATTGGTTGTATTCTTATTTGCATTGGTATCATGGTACCGACAAAACAAATTAATGTCGTGAATCTCCATCAGTAAATCATAAATAGCACCTTCTCTTGCTCTACCCTTATATAAAACCGGTATCGAATTTGTATTATTTACATCGGAGGGATCACTTCCCTCCGGCAAAATAACACATGACGTTCGAATATCTTTTAATAGGAACAGAATTTCATCTTTTCCATTTTGATCTTTAGCGAATCCATTCACAATCGCTCTTGACTCCAATAATTTTTCTGTTAGACCTCGAAGATGATAAAACCGTCCATCTTTTAGCAAATTTTGTCGATGCACTTCGTCCCGGATGCGTATTTCGTAACCTTGCAAGTATCGGATAATGTCGGAAAATAGGTCCGGGTCGCGGTCGAGCATCGGAGGTGGAATGGATGGAGGTTTTAGCATTGGTGGTGAATCGGAGGGTGGTTCCCATCTAAATCCAAACCCTAAATAGTAAGTAAATAAAATTGATAATTAATCCTAAAATATTAGTTTGCGAACCTTAGTGAAATTTTTTACCTATAGTAGTGAAAAAATTTGGTGAATCTCGTTTTAAAACATCTTGTTCTACACGAAACACTTTTCCCCCGACATTCACAACACATTTTGATTGTAATTGGGCTGTAAGTTTTTTGAGATTATAGAATATTGCATCGACAAACAAGTCCGTATAGTGCACCTTCGATATTTCAACAATTATTAATTATTTGAAATAATTGACTCTCATTTGATGATGTTTTTCTCTACCTCGTCACGTGGCATAACATAATATCCTTGTAAATGCCTTACCTAAATAAAAAAACGTATTCAGGGAATTTCAGGATATTCAATAATTTTATTTTTAATTATCCTTATTACTCACAATATCTTTAAATATTTCTGGGTCTCGATCAATATACATTGTTTTATTAAATGACTCTTCTAATCCCGACGTAAAAATATTCGTGAAAAAGTTGGGACCGTCCGAGTTCAGAGAAGACCATGACAGTTTGAAACTCTGACCACTAACCACAATCGTGTAATATGCTCCTGGTTGGCTGAGAATCGGGGACATAGATATTGAAGTGGGGTGTGAGTTCAACATTATTTGGCAGTTGCAGTTTCAGTTTTTTAAACTACATTTCCCTCCTCACTTTTATAAAAATACCTGGTTATCATGTATTAATATGAGGTTTGTGTTCCCATTAATTTCCTGCTTTGAAATCTGTGACGTATACCAACAGGCATAAAACTTTATTTTATATTAAATGAAAATAATATTGATATTTATTTTGCTTTCTTTTTTCCTGAGGTAGTTTTTACTTTACGTTTTTTAACAGCTTTAGGTATTTTATTTTTACGCTTTTCGCGTGTTTCGTCTTTTGCTATTTTTTTTCGCTCCTAATTAGCAAAATCAATTGATCAATTAATTACAATCATTAAAAAATTGAATAAGATTAAAATTACTTTTTTAGCCTCCTTATCCTCATTCCGCTTTCCCCGAGGTGTTTTCGCAAAAATATCTTTGTCGCCTGTTTTATCCTCTTCCTCTTTAGAATCATCCTCATCCTGTTCTTCACTTTCAGAAGAACCGTCTTCTTGTTCTTCATCTCGTTCATCGTCTTGATTTTCCTGAATTTCTATATTGTTATTATTTTTATTTTCATTATCCAGAGAAATTCCTGTCAGTTTTCGATATATTAGCTGTATAAAGATAATAAACTAATAGTGAGTAATTTGCATCTCGGGATAATTTTGTCTTTCCTATTGATCGGTTGAATCAATCCTGCATACTTCATCACCCTCGCCCTCCATGAGTTTCTGAACATCTCTTTCCGCGTCAATAACCTCATCTAACGTGCGGGGAATATAAGCTTGTTTAAAAACTGCTTCTTCCACCGAATAATCTTGATCTTCATTTTGCAAGTAATTCTCATTTGATAACCGTTCTTTAATCTATCAATTAATATATTAAAAGAGAAGCAAGAATCTTTTCTAAAAGAAGAAAAAAATGAAAATACTTTATCCAACTCCGCGTTCATCGCATCCTCTTCCACACCAATATCCAAATCCGTAATAAAATCAAATAATTCGCGAACACTCATTGTTCGGACTCCTTTCTTCTTGAAATAGTCGGTCACATTCGCGCAATCTTTACGTAAGAACTCAAGAGAGTGCGGATGATCATGTTCAATCGATTGTGAAACATCAATAATGTAGAGTTTTCGTGAATGATATCTGGAAATCGTGATGTTATATATAAAAAATTAATGAGAAAACTGCCATGAATTCAAAAATGTTAAAAGCTACAGATTACACACAAAATATTGTATTCACTTAAATCTGCGTGCACCAAATGACACGTTTGATACATTATTCGCATTATTTTGACAAGCTGATAATAAAGTTCCGGGTATTTATCCAAATTGATATTCGCGTCTTTGAGTCTAGGATATGCCCTAATAATTCATTCATTAAAATCAGATAT